GAGATCTAAATCATTATTGAAGCTTCATTCCGATACAAAAAAGCGGACAACGGGATATTTACTGACTCCGGCCAATCGTGATCTTTCCGGCATCGGATCTCATCGTATACCAGATTGAGGCGATCCTTCTTCCATCGTATCGACGTGTCCATATACCAAACGGCTCCAAACTCCTTCAACGTCATCTGAATAGAGATTTCGCTGGAGACAAACGAGTAGGCAGCAACTTGAATGTATATGTGCTAACGAGAATGCAATTCGCCATTACAGCTTGCACCCCCCTCCAAAACATGAAGTTCCTCAACACGTGTTCTGAAGTTTAGAGCTTCAATGTATTAGGTTCACCCATGAATAGTGTGTGTGTGTTTTGTTTCAGCCGGAAATTTTCTGCAGAAATCCCACTCTTCTGCATCGCTCACATGCCATTCGGAAGGGATTCGTCTGCCCTATACGATATGATGTTCCACTTTTACAAACTTAACGAAAGCGTTTGAACTTTAGGCCTGTAAATTGGCAAGTTCAAATCGGAAAGGCAACCTCATCGACAACTAGCTCTAACTCTATTTTCCCCTAGAAATCGTGCAATGATGTACCCTCCCCCAGAGCGAGAAATCACGATAAGGTAAGGTTGGGCCCATAGTGCATGTGGGTACGCTGAACAATTGTTCAGTGGCGGAAAAGCAAAGAAACCCGTCCAAAACACGCAAAATGAGACCACATTCCTTGCCCATAATGACAAACCAGCAACCAACATACAGCTAAGGATCGCTTACAATTGTTAAACCGATAGCCACCATCATCTCAGCCAACAATGCTTTTAATGATAGCCCACTCCATAGAAAATTATGGGATACGGCTCGAACTGGAATAGTTTTTAAAATGATAATCGAAAGATGTTGCTGCTGAGGCGGAGCCAGGCCAAAGGAGGCTCGAAAAGGATTGCCAAGCTTCAGTGGCTGCAATTATCATAGTTCCGACTAGGTGGTAGAAATACCAAATTACACTTCCTCAGAGCTCCTTATAATCAATTGAACATTCCACTATTAGTTGTCGTGAGAGCCTTTTCGTGTTTCCTTCCGAACTAGGCTTTTCTTGGTATTTGCTGAAGCCATGGCAGTTCCTGATCTGAATTTTTTCCTCGATCCCCATTTTCTGTATTTAGTCGTATGTTGTTTCTAAGCTGTGGCTTCGATCACTTGCTTTCTTTTTGAAGATTCTTATAATTAGGTCGAATTTTAGGTCTACGTTAATGGTGTCCACACTTGAGAGACTGACCACTACTTCAGCAAAACTTCTAGAAGAAGTACAAAATCAATCAGGCATACATTGCCAATTCAGTCAACCTGTTCTAGCTATTGCACTGGTTTTTCACTTCCCGAAATGTTGTGGTCAAGGTTTGATTCGATAGTACTTAATAATAGAGATAGGTGGAAAAACCAAGGTTGAAAAAGGAAACGACGCGGCTTGTGGGGAAAGCCTTATCGCGGATTGTTCGGAAGACCTGGTGCCTACATGTCAGGGAAGAGCCCAAACGATGGATTTCTCCTCAGAGCTTCAGGGGAAAATGTAGTTGGCGCTAGTTACTGGTGTGGCCATTTTTCGCCACTTGGACCTACCAAGTTGGAGGCCTAAAACTTAACGTTCAAAAGAGTGTAAAAGCGAAACATGCTGTCATGTGGAGCAGATAACTCTCTTCGAAATGGTTGATGAGTTGAAGTGAGAACTTGAAACTTTGGCAGAAATATCCCTTTGAAAAACAAGGCTACTATGAAACTAGTAAAAAAGTTTGCATGATAAAGCCATCTGCTTTTTAACAATGCGGGATCTTACGTTGAAGAGAAGACAGGGTGCTGGCCCGTGGAAGCAATGAGCGAGCAGTCTCAGATAGTAAAACACATCAGTTCTAGGGTGGGGATAACAGCCTGATGAGTGCTTTTAGGCCCACGCTTTAAGCTCATTGCGCTATTGTCAGGAGCATTCAGCACATGAATGCGGCTGCGGAAGGTTTACCTTTTCGCGGAACAACTGGCTCTCTTCAGCATTGAGGCACCCTCAAAAATAGAACTTCAGGGTCCTCAATCCTGCCCCTCTTGTGGTAGAAAGTCAGCGGCTGGTGCGCATTTGGTCTGTATAATGAACTACGGGGTCGAGTCTATGCGCGAGTCAGCCTATTCTTATGCTACATATTGAGTCACTACGACAGGAATCATTTGACCGAAAGTTGAAGGTTTGGTTGCCCCAAGTGCGCTTTATTCTGCGCACATGTAAGTGGCACACACCGCTATTTGCCAGTGCTCCTGATGTCGTATCATTGGAACACCTGAAGTGAAGTGATGTGCTATTATGAAAAGCAAACGAACTGCAATAATCAGAGGCTTCCATCGAAATTCGCCCAAGTTCCTCACATAGGTGGAAAGTTATCAAATGGGAACTTGCGGATTTCCAAAAGGCATTTCACCTGGAAGTAAAATTTGTTGCATTGCAGCATCGCTGCAATCATTGAGAAAGGTGAAAACACCAAAATTATGCCACATACTTCCAGTTCTTTGCGTGACCGCGAACTCAGTCCCAGGTCATAGATAAGAATTTTCCTTTGTGGCCATAGTTTCCGAATACTTGCAATCTGGAAATATACATCGAAGGATGGGATGGTTGTGGTTGGAGTGTTTTTGTAATGAAATCGGTGCAACCAGTGATGCAATGGAATTGAAATGAAAGAATTTCATGGCTCAAAAGTGAGCCGCGACCACCCGACTTCTCTTCCAGAAATTGTCACATTTGAATGCAATTGTTGCTACAGTCACAATGCATTGCAATGGTTACACAGTGCTCAAGTAATCAATGCATTCATCAATCCTGCCTCATATGCTTAGCCTGGGAAACTTGAACAAAGGTTAGGTGAAGATCGGCAGAATTAGATCGATTCCTCTTATACCTAGATGACTGATCAGAGGCGGATGAAAAGGTGCTTCAGAAATTGACGGAGAGGCGGTCAGCGGTTCAAAAATTATGAGCAACAGGACCCGATAAATGGGACTACTTTTTTGCCATTGATTTCCACCTTTGCGCGACTCTCAACGGTGCTGTCCTCTTCAATGCTAGTAGCTGTATGCCCTCGCTAAACACCTAGCAATAGTGGAGAGGTTATATGTATCGACAAGTGTGCAGGGTTCGCGGGCGACGTAGGTACGGGCCCTGCTAGCGACGTTATCGGCCCTGCTAGGCTGAGGGCATACTCCTCGCAATGAAACGAGCAGCGCCCCGCGCCCTTAGATGTCCAACATACTCAGCGATTGTGCCGAGCGATGGCAAACGGGCGGAATCGCCGAGTTGTTGGCATTTAAAAGACGAATTCAACGCTGGGAAGGCAACCCATTTTAAATTAACTCAGGGATGGTGATTGGTACACGAAAGAAGGAAGAACCATGAGAAACGGCCCAGAACCCGAGAAATGGGACCCCTTCCTTCCCCGCTGATTTGCGCATTGATGCGACTCTTATCGCTGTGCCCTCCTCAACATCACGCTCTCTCTGCTATCTAATCAATCCCACGTATAGATCTGCGGCGAGTGATCAGCTGGTCGGTGGGCGGAGATCGCCAGACCCGCCAACTTTGAGGCATAATAGGTCGCCGAGGTCAAATTTTTCGATGCGAATTGCGCATCAGTTCGCACCCTCAGGAGGTCCGTGGGTTACTCAACTAGGTGAATTACTTCTTCCTCGACCTCCATTCTAATCGTAAAATCCTCCTTTAAAGCCGCCCTTCTTTCGACAAGTCTACCCTCGCCTTCAAATGACCAGAAATTGTGCAATTGCAGAAATTGACGTGGCATTAACGTGGCATCGATTCAAGAACATCTTTGAGCACACGTGATGTCACCTTTTCATCGAGAATTTAGCCACGTGTGCCACGTGGATTTCTGGCTGCATGAAACAGAGTGTATAGTTTTCATTCTCGAAGTTATATTTATCGCTAATATCCTTTTGTGCGACAGTGCTAATCGTGCTGATTTTGAGTTTGAGGCGGAAATGGCAAAGCGGCTAGAGGTGCAGCTTTCACATTCATAGTATGTCGCTTGATCCTACGTCACTTGACTGATAAATGATGCATATAGTTGAGGAACCAATTATCAAATGGAGTATATGTTTTCTTCGGTCATTGCAACCCTCACCCTTTGCTTTTGAAAACCAGATGCGCGTCGGGTGCAGACCACACACCATAAATGACGACTGCCTCCAAACAAATCTGGTAACTAGTGGTTCATAGTGACAGCTGATTGGTGGTAAATGATAATTGTTATTGGTGACAACTCATAATATACAACTGCATCCCGGCTAACCACTATCTAGTTGAGGTGAACATTTACATTTTTATGAAGCGCCATCTCCACTGTAGTGTGGTCGCACCGACGGCATCTGGTTCCTCGAAGCATGTACATACACTCCACGCGAAATATTACGTGCGACTCTCAATTAATCTCGGCATGATTGTATGTACAGTTGTAATTGCTTCTGTCCAAGCTTCCGAGATTGATATACGATTTATCCGGCTAACGTTTCGGCGCACTCGCCTTCTTCGGAGCCTGCAAGTCGAAGCATCTTTTTGAAACAATTCGTCCAAGCAACATTTCAGATTACAAGAAAGAAAACGCTCGGCTTTTACAAAGGTTAGCGGGTTACGACATCGTTCATGGCTTATTCTCCCTTAGTTTTTCTTTCTTGTAATCTGAAATGTTGCTTGGACGAATTGTTTCAAAAAGATGCTTCGATTTGCAGGCTCCGAAGAAGGCGAGTGCGCCGAAACGTAAGCCGAATAAATCGTATATCAATCTCGGAAGCTCGAACAGAAGCAATTACAACTCACGCGAGTTTAATGCCAGGAGTATCCGCGAGAGTGGCCAGCGCCAATATTCTGTCTTGCTTCTTTTTATGCTGACACCACTCACCAATGTTAGCCCTTCTTTGAAATGATTGTCAGACATCGCCGTGACAAACACCGGCTCAGGAAACTCGTTCTTTTTTCACGTCAAGGATGTGCTCCGCGGACAGGAGTCCTGAAAAAATTACGTATACAATTTACAGTTGCAGTCAAAAGCAGTCTTTTTTTGGGTCATTCTTTTTTCCACTCAAATACCTTCAAATGTAAGAAGAATGGGACTTTCTTGCCAGTTGAGTATCCGCATTGATGCGACTCTCATCGTGCCCTCTTCAACGTTAACGCTCTCTCTGCTATGGTGGGCGTACCGCGCCAACTGCGCCAAGAGTGAGCCATGCTAGATCGCCGAGGTCAAATCTTTCGCTGCCAATTGCGCGTCGGTCCGCACCCTCAGGAGGTCCGCCTGTCTCCCAACTATGCAATTTTCCTTTTTGACCTTCGTTCTTATCGTGAATTCCTCACCTGATATGATAATATAATATTTTCCGCGAATCGTCTCGAAAAACAGCAGTTCTAAAGAAAACTAGAATTCCAAATGAAGGACATTATTGCTGATTTAATTGCAAGAAGCTTATGGCTAATCTGAAAAAAAAATCAGTTATACCTAGACGTTCCAAGTGCACAGCATTGGCGCAGTCAAATCGCCGTCCTATAGTTCGTGGTTCTGGTGGGAGATGATAGCAGAAATCGTAGAGAGTTCCATCCAGTTCGCACCGACATTGCGGTTCCGGCGGATCATCCAACAGTATTATCTGAACATTGCGTTCAAGACATATGTAAAGCCTCTTCTCTGCCATCTTATGAATTTGTTCAGCGCAGCAGCAGCCGTCGACAACTTCGCTACCCTTAGTGATTGAAAGCTGAGAAAGCCTTAGATTCTGCAAAGACATCCTCAAAACTCGTTTCCACGCGGAGGAATTTCATTTTAATATAATTCTTGAACGAAATTCGAAATGGCAATGATGGAAAAGAGCATTGTGGAAATGAACCCCTACACCTTACCTTACTACCTTACACTTACCTTACTCTCTCACAAAGTAGTCTTCACTCCAAACACGGTCTTCAACTGCTAGGCTTTCCTTGTGTCACATTTTTCAGCATGGGTCTAGGTAACATAGCTTTGTCATTTTTGCGCCCTGAATTCATTCAACCTACGATTCCATTCGCTGCCGCTTCCAGAGTAAACATGACTGGACCGGAAACCCCACTTCTCCCTCCACCGTTCCTCCCGTCCTGCATGCCGGGGACGCCTGTCCGGCGCTATCACACGTTATCGATGGGAGGAGCCACTTCAAAATGTCGGACTAGGGAGGAAGGATACGCCCGTGTTTCGAGAAATTGTCAGAGCTTCCGTATTCCAAAATACCCTTAATGCTGTACCATATACGGCCCACTCCCATACTCCACGCCAAGGATTCGTTAACGGAGGGGTGGGGGAGAATGAGATCTGGGTGAAACACTCGGCAAGACGACCTCCTGCAATCGTGAAAGCGGCCATGTTAAGGCAAGTGACAGTGATATGTTGTGTTGAAGAAGGGCCAATGTGTCTACCATAAAAATTCTGCCATTGGTCCTCGAGGAGGGTGGCGCTTTCGCGGGCGAAGGACGCGCCCTTAACAGCCCGGCAAGGCTTTC